TTCAAGTGTAAACCAGCAGAAACACCCATGGAAACGATTACAAAAGTTGGATTTAAAAATGACAAGCTAGTTGATAAAGAAAGATATCAGAGACTTGTGAACAAACTTATCTATCTCGCTCATACTAGACCTGACATCAGTTTTGCTGTAAGTACTGCAAGTCAATTCATGAACTAACCTACTGATGTTCATATGAATATAGTATATCGGATCTTAAGATACCTTAAGAAAACTCCAGGACAAGGGACTATTTTTCCAAAAAACAATGAACAGAAATATTGAAATCTACACAGATGCAGATTGGGCGGGTTATATAACTGACAGAAGATCTACATCTAGGTACTGTACTCACGTTTGGGGAAACTTAGTCACTTGGCAGAATAAGAAACAATTTGTTGTGTCACGAAATAGTGCAGAAGCTGAATTTCGGTCACTTGCTCATGGAACATGTGAGAGAATTTGGTTAAAAAAAGTTACTACTCCTATGAAAGTGTGGTGCGACAATCAATCAACAATCAGCATAACTAAAAATTATATACGTCATGATCGAACTAAACACGTGGAGATAGACACTTCATCAGGGAGAAGATTGAAGATCAAACCATTACAATACTCCACGTTCCTACTAGTCAGCAAATTGTAGATATTTTAACAAAAACACTTTTCAAAAGACTCTTCAACGAATTGATATCCAATTTAGGCTTATTAAACATTTATGTAACTTAAATTGAGGGGGAGTGTAGAATTACTTTCAGTGTTTTCTTTTTTACTATTTATTTTTTCCTTCATTGACAACCTGGCAATGTAACAAAATATTTACTGCCATTTTTTGCTTTTTTCCCTTCCACTAGGGAAGGTTGTTAGTTTTTGTCTTTTTTTGCCTATAAAATGTGTCTGATCATCAATAAATAAAAACGTGAGAAAAAGAAAATTATTTCTTACTCTAAAATTCTTCAATAAGGTTGAGCAAAATATGATTTAGATCAACAAAAATAAAAGGTAATATCTGCAAAAACATAGAACGTAGAAAAAGTAAAATGTTACCTTACTATCATGAGAGAGTTTATTTATCGACATAACTAGTGGAAAGCTTTTGAACATGAAATACGTTCTAAAGAATAAAAGTGAGATTAATCTTGATATTGTTGATCCATGCTATGGTGGTTAGTGAACCATATGAAAATAGCTATTTTTATATTGCTAGGACAAGGGATATATGTATTAGATTTATGTGAGGAATGTGTCATATAATCTGTAACTCTTGAGTCAATAATTCATGAACTTGTAGATAATCTATTTGAGGCATTTAATTCATATGAAGGAGAGAACTTACTGAATGTGCTAATGAACCAGGGCTTATGGGTTTTCTAGAGTTTCGAGGAGATTTCTTAGCCGTTTCATCTCCTCTTTGTTGAACCCTCTATATTCAGGAGCCTTATCCTTCTCTCGCTGACTTGTGAAGTGGGTCTATCCCTAGTTTTTCATTGCCCACTTTTATATCCCTACCCCTTGCTCGAGGTAAAAAGCTTTCCATTCAATATCGAATACCTTTCTTTGGCATGTCTTAGTTTCTTACCAAAAATGCACCATACTTTGTCTCGGCTGTCCTCACTCATTTTTATTGATTCAGTGTTTCCGTGCTCCTTGTTTGCCTGCTGATGGATTTTGGGCTCATTATTCAGCATTCTAAGACCTTAGTTGGCTATGGTTCCCACATTATCCCCTTTCTACTTTGCTAAAATAATAGAAACTATCTTATCCAGAGAAAGCAATTCTCTTTTCCCAAAATTTGGAAACCTAACTTTGTCAAATTCCACATTTAGACCTGCTAGAAAATCATAATTTTGTCTTTCTCAATAAAGTTTTTTAGTATTTCTGCATCTTCACTGCATTTCATCTCTATGCAGCATTAGTAATCTAGCTCATTTTGTTTAACCCTTTCAAGAGATTAGCATACTCTATGATTGACATACTTCCTTAGTATAAATGGTCTTCACTTTCAGTTCATAGATTTGAGCAGTATTTCAAACTTTATAGTATGTGTAACAACAGCCCAAATGAATTTGGCTGTGAGCAGAAACATGCAAAGACCTTGATTTCTAGGAACATTGAGTTCTAAAGTCATACCATGATCATAGAATCCTCATCCCATGCATCAAGTCTCAGTCTCCTGGTTTCCGGTCATATTCCTAGAAGTAGCTGATTTTTCCTTTCCCTTTAGGAACGTATAGATTAGTTCGAATTATTTAAAATAATTCTTTCAATTCAGGATGTAAGTTGCCTGAATATGCTGTAATTCCTCCAGCAGGATGGTGTGATGTCATCCC